ACCTTAAGGCTCACAGCATGGTAGGGTGATTACAGTTTTAGACTAGACCACAGAGACATGAGTTCAGATCTCTGCCATGAAATTTACTCATTCTGTCTCACAGTCTAGCCTACCTCACAGGGCTGTTGTGAGGATAAAATGCAGAAGGGGAGAACTATGTTTGAACTGCTTGGAAGAAGGGTGGGACAAAAATACCCTAAAATAAATATAAAGTTTAGAGTAATGAGCCACTGTTTACTTGGGGAGGTCTTTTTTATTAGGGCTGTAAACTTTACTCTGTTCTATTGAATTTACGGAGTCAATAAAAGATTCAGCTAATAAAAATTCTACTTTGTGGGTCTGTGTGTTAAATGTATGCTTGTTTGGTCCTTAAAACTATTTTTATTCTGGTATGCTACTGGGAAAGGCAAAAAGAAAATGGAAACACGAAAGGCGGCTTCTCTTGGTGCCAAGAAATTGTAGTTCACAGGGCTTTGGTGCCGGAACTCTCAAGAGGGAAATGAAGTTTTCAATTTGTATACTGAAAACTCATGAACTTTAACCATTTTTAAATAATTTTGTCAAAGAGGTTCTGTAACTCCATTCCAGCACATTCCCCCCCCCCCCAAGAAAGCCCTGGTAGTTCATATTGACTTCCATGTAAATAGCCATGTAAATAGCTTTTATTTAGACCAGCCTGTGAAGAAATGCTTTTTTTCTTTGGTGGTCTGAAATGAGCAAAACCTTCACTTTGTGTTTTAAAAAGCTTCCCCCCCCCCTTTCTGGGCAGAGCACAGGCAGGGAGGAGGAAGTTAGTCCAACTGCTTTCCTTTATACATACGCTAATAGCTCTAGCAGGAGAGACAAAGGGATGGTCAATTCCCTCCCCCCCTTTCAAACAGGGAACAGAGATTTGGAGGTGTTAAATACCAGAGACTTCAGGAAGGAATTTCTGAAGGCTCTCCGGGAAAAGGTTCTCTGACCCAGCCTGACCTGGTCAGTGGATAGGGAAAAGAGAGGTGATAAAACTCCTGGAAGGAAGCAAAAAGGTCTCTTTTGTGCTGTGTCCATCAGAGCAGACAGAACTCTTAACTGAGGTGTGGAGGAGGTGGCTATTGGCCATGTGCTAGCCTGGATAGCTGAAGGAAGCTCCAAAGTGATGGTAACTCTGTAGAGATCTGTAACTTCCTAAGCTAAGAAGTCTGTCCTATATTTTAACATTTGATAGGGCATGTAGAGAGAGAGGGACAAAGAAATTGTATTTTACCCATCTCTTTTAAATCCCTTGCTCAGTCTGTTGTTGTGCTTAAAGTATGCTTATGAACATTTTCCTTTTAATAAATACTTTCTAACTTTTGATGCTGGTAGAGGTTCTCTGTACCACATAGACCTCCACCATCTCAGACATGCTATTTTAAAAGAAGCGCTGGGGGAAGGCAGGCAGCTGGCAAGTGGCTATTCCTACAGGGGTGCACAAGGCAGTAAACTGTCCCTGTGGTAACCAGGCGCTGGGCAGCGGGAGACACAGAGGCAAGGCCTCAGAACTTGGAAAGGAAGCTGTGAGTCCTGACCCTCCCAGCTGGCAGTTCCTTACAAAGGTCAGGTGGTGGCAGTGGTTACCCCAGAGAGAAAGAAAAGCCTCTCCAGGTGTTGGGAAAACCTTGGAGGGCAGGGTGGAACAGAGCCCGCAGGCCAGAGCAGGCCTGTTCCACCACATAGCCAAAACACCAAACTCCCCCCCAAAAAAGTGCAAGCTTTTGAGTTCTCCAGGCTCGATTTTTAAAAAACAATTAGAAGGGACAGAAAGGATAACAAAGACAATTTATCTCAGAGGTACTTTCTTTTCATACCAATGTCCTAATCCTTGTTGATTTCTATCACCTATTATATGCACTTTCAATAGTCAAAGCTTGTTTTATTCCACTTGTATCCCATCTTTTCCCCCCAATGGGGACCCAAAGCAGCTTACCTTGTTCTTCTCCATTTTATCCTCATAACAACCCTGGGAGGTAGGTTATGCCAAGAGTGTGTAATGGGCCTCAGGCTGCCAGCAGATTTCCAGGGCAGAGCGGGATTCATATCTGGGTCTCCCTGATACTAGGTCCAACATTCTAATCTCTGTATTACACTGGCTCCTATAACAGAATTCTGGACTAGCCATACGTTTCACTTAAATTTTGTAACAAGCCTGAATTTTTCAATACTGTATCATCATCATATGGATTAAGAGCTCTGACTGAAAACCAGTCCAGCCACCAAGCCTGCAACATGGAAGATACCCAGCTTGGAGCAAATACCTGAAGAGGATGCCCTGCATTCTAGTGACTTTTGGACATGCTTTTCCGACATCATCTCAGAAGTGTTGCTTGTTTGATAATCCAAACAGGATAGCGGCACTTATCAACTCTAACTTTGAAAGTGAGAACTTTGGAACCAGTGCTTTAAAAAACATTCTGCTCACCATTTCCAAAGAGAACGTTTTTCATAAATTGGCTTTCCCCAAATTTCCATTGGGAAAAATCCTCTGGAAGGAACAAAAAAAAAGGTGTGGAAGCAACTATTTTTTCCTCTCGGGCTTCTGCCTCTTAAGCCCTGACTTGCCAGAGACCTTCATGACCAAATCAGGATTTGAAACTGGGTCCCTCTGAACCACATCCAACATTCTGGCTGCACAACAGCCCAAAAAATGTGCCTCGTGTACCAAGTCAAATACAAGCTCAGAACATTAATGAAGAGCTTTTGCCTCATGGTGGCTCCAGGAATTACGTTTTATTCCATGCGCAGGTAGCTAATACAAGTTTCTAGCCCCAAAGACCCATGTTCCTTCCAAGGAGGAGACTTCTGCAGATGCCGCTGCACAGACATTTTGACTTGACTTGCTTCCCAAACTGGAGTGGGGTGTGTGTGTTCACATGGCATCATCATGCCATCATCCACCTCCTGGGTCTTTCCTTTCGCTACAGTCTTTCTGAAACCTGCTGTGATGTGATATTTCAGGAAACTGTGGGGAGGGTTGAGGGGAACTGAACTGAACTCTGCCACCCCTCACACTGCTCTCCAAGTCTGGCTCTGATATCAGAAGTAAACTGGACTAGCAGGAAAGCACCTGAGTGAGTGAAAGTCTGTGGAAAGTGCACAGAGGTGGACACCTTTCAGATCCTCTCATGGAGTCAAAAGTAAGCCCCATAACAGGCCCCATACCCAAGCAGGGCCAGCTGGGGGACAAGGAATCATAGTTGCCCCTGTAGTGTCTAGCTTTTCTTCCCAAACCTCTGGCCTTTAAATTCCCAAAGAAGGAATTTTACAAAACGCACACACAGGAAGGATTTCATACAGCACACAGTTGCCATCTTTCCTAGTTTAGGGATTCTTAACTGGGGCCTACTTCATCTCCAAATCTCAGGAGCCTTCAGAATGCCAGAGGGGAAAGGGGGACATTTGGGGATTTGCGGCAGCCAGTCTCCCCGCCTGCAATGGCTGCTGACAGCCAGCTGGGGACCGATATTTTCTCCTGTTCACACGGATGATAAAAGCCCAGAACCTGGATTTCTCCCCCCCCAGGCCCTTCAAAAATTGCCCCCCAACCAGCTTGCTGTAGTGGTTAGTGAGTCTGACCAGGATTTGGGAGACCCAGGTTCAAATTCCCCACTTGGGCCAGTCACTCAGCCTAATCTTCCTCACAGGGTTGTTATTGAAGGAAGTAAGAACAATGTTGTAAACCCCTTTGGGTCCCCATTGAAGACTAAAGTAGGCTATCAATATCTAAACGAATTAATACATTTTTTAAAAAAAACGAACGTTGAGGTGCTGATCTCCTGATCCTCAGGCACAAAGCTCTCACTGAATGCACGCCTAAGGTTTCATAGGTATCTCATATACATTATGCCTATATAAAGTTGCCTTGTCCAGAATGCTGTTTGAAGATCCTGACTTTTTGCATGGGGAGGGGGGGTTTCCAACAATGCTGCTGCATGCTGGGTGGGCAGCCATGGAATAAAGTCCACTCTTCTTGCTCCTGAAGGCAAAGGGATCAAGCTGACTGACAGCCATTCCGTGCTGACGGAAATGATGGCCCAGGCTAGCCTGATCTCCTCAGATCTCCGCCAAAGAGAATGGCTGGCCAGTGGCCCTGGCGACTCCTTGGCTGGGAGACGGTCCAGGAAGTCCAAGGCTGCTACACAGAGGCAACAGCAAACCACCTCGGCTCATCGCTGGCCTTGAAAACCCTCAGGAGTCACCATAAGTTGGCTGTGGCTTCATGACACTTTCCCATCACTAAAAGGACCTGCCTGACCCTGATGCCCCCTCCTGCAGACTACATGCCAGAAAGTCTTGAGCAGCTAGATCTCTGCTTTGGAGGCCGCCCTTCATGGGCCAGGGGCAGGGCTCAAGTGGATATTTAAACACACACACCCCAAATTCACGCAGGCTAAAGGCCTGTTCTGCCCCCTCTGAGATGAGCAACAGGGCAAACGGGTCGAGGCCCTGGAAACTCTCTTACCCCGAAGGCTGCGACTCAGGAAGGATTCGCCTTAACCTCCAGTGGGATTCCCTCCCTTCCAACTAAGCCAACAGGCGCATCCTCCCACGATCAGGAGGGCCTTAAACACATTTACAGAGGAGTAAGTCCCAAGGGCCTCCCTTGGGCTTCTGAGCCTAATTCAAGGAGCAATCCAAGCAGATCTACTCAGAAGTAAGGCCCACGTTATGCAGGAAAGCAGGAAAGCTGTCCTTGGGACTGCAGCCTTCGACAACGACTCTCTCCGGCTGCCTCTAGCAGCGACCCCGCGCAGCCCTCCTGACCAGTGTTCCCTCTAAGCTGAGTTAGTGTGAGCTAGCTCACAGTTCTTTAGCCTCTGGCTCACACGTTTTTGTCTCAGCTCAGGAAGGAGGGCTCCAGGGCAAACTGATGTATGCAGCAGCCCAATCGCTCGCTCACAGCTTTCATGCCAGTTGCTCACAAAGTAGGATTTTTGCTCACAGGCCTCCACCGCTTGGAGGGAGCGTGGCTCCTGACTTACCTCCCGCGGCCAGGATGGCCCCCCAGCTCCAGGGCGCGACCAGCAGGAGCCAGGCGGCGCTCAGCATGGCCGAGCAGCGGGCGCCCCTCGCGCCGCCGGGTCCTCGCGCGCCCTGCCAGGCAAGAGGCTCCAGGACATGCCCGGCGCCGCTCCGCTTCCCAGGCTCGTCGCCTCTCGGCAGCGCTTCCTTAGCTTCTGGCCTTTGGGAACGGTCCCGCCGCTTCCTCCTTCCGCGCGCTCCGCCCTCCAAGGAAAGTCCAGCGCGTAGGCGCGCATTCCCCACCACGGGAATTTCTCGGGGGATTTTTAGGGACAGTAGATTCGATCCTAGATAAGCTGCCATTCTTTATTGCAACAATAAATGAAGGCCGCTATCTATGTGAACAGACTGAGAAAGGTTTACAGAACTCTAGTAAAGAAACAATCAATTTCCTACGAAGACCTTTTGACAAACCAAACAGTGGCCTGACTTCATGACATCCCATCTTGAGCTCATGCAGACTGCAGACTAGGCCAGCCCGGGCGGTGTTCGGTCCCATCGTTTCCCTATTTTGAAGTCCAGCTGCAGCCAGGGGAAGTCCCTGCTTGCTGGCACCTCTCCTTACCTGTCTCTGCTTTTGCCTTTCAGGGGGAACTGGGGATGTTTTTTTCTTTTTTCTTTCCCCCCCCCCCCCCCTTATGTACTGAAATGACTATTCTCAACATGGCGTCCACTTTATACTTTCTGGAATTTTCCACATCATTTATTGTACTCACTGAATATCTCCACGGTGAAGTTCTGAAGTGGCTTACAACATCATTCTCCACTCCTACATTTTCTCCCAACAGCGACCCTGCAAGGCAGGCGGCTGGCCCAACGTCACCCAGCAAGTTTCCATGCTACGGTGTGGATTCAAAACTGGGTTTCCCAGATGCTGTTCTGATGCTCTATCCCCTGCGCCACACTGTCTCTCCATCTGTTCGATCCCTTGAGGTTGTAGTTGTGAAGATGCATACCTAAGACTAAGCTCCACTGAATACTTCTGAGTAAACACACAGATGTGATATTCTTTCCAACAGCATTCCCCCAAAATGGCTCCATTATCTCAGGATTCCTTACAATAACCATATAAGGTAACCTAACATTAGTATCTCCATATTATAACTGGGGGCTCCAGATGAGGAATGGGCACCTTGTAAGACGAAGACTGTGGGGGTGTAGAGACCAAATCCTTCATGGTTCAGAGCATGTACTCAGGGAACCCCATACAAGCTGCCAATGTCTGACCTGCAGCGTGGTAACCACAAATGGCATAACCAGTGACGGTTGGGGTTCTGGCACACTTGCATAGCAGAAGGATCTGGACAGGATCTACCCTTGAAGGCTAAAGGCAAAGATCTCATCACGTGTATAAGGCAGGGGGTCAGGCAAACCTCAGTGGGATCATTACTTTACTGATTTATTTAGTTATTTATACCACACTTTCCTCCCCAATGGGGACCCAAAACAGCTTACAACATCCTTCCTCCTCTATTTCATCCTCATAACAACAACCTTGTGAGGTAGGTTAGGGTGAGAGAGAGAGAGAGAGAGACAGGCCCATGGTCACCCAATGACAGAGGGAGATTGGCTATTTAACTTACAGGGAAATTTCCTGGTGGGCCACTGCCCTAGAGAGCTGCCAGTGGCCGGAAGCGAGCATAACTAAGCCCTTGCAACCCTGCCAAAGCCTCAGGGGCCCTTTGGTTCAGATCCATCACGGACAATAGTAACTGGCATCAGTTCACCAACTATCTTTTCCCATACTGCTGCCCGTTTTCAGGAGGAAGCAAAAAGTGAGCTAATACCTTCCATTGCCCAGCCCAATCCTGCTCTATGAGCTCCCATGGCCAAGTGGGGATCCCAACCTGACTCTCCCAGATTCTCGTCTGACACTAACCACTGAACAAGGCTGCCTGAACCAGTTATGGAATGCCTGAGAAGGAAGAAAGGCAGCAGGTGACTGTTGACCTTCCTGGGTTGTGACTGAATTTAGGGTTGTCCGCCTACAGGTGGGGCCTGGGGATCCCTTGGAATTACAGCTCATCTCCTGACTACAGAGATCAGTTCCCCTGGAGAAAATGGATGCTTTGGAGGGTGGACTCTATGGCTTTGTACCCCCACTGAGGTCCCTGTCCTCCCCAGGCTCTACCCCTAATTTCCAGGACTTTGCTGGCCTGGAGCTGGCAACCTTACCCCACCTCCCATCCCTCTCCAGTGCCCAGAGAGGGACCCGACAACCCCAGTTGCAATGGAAGCTCCACACTCCTTCCTTCTCAGCGTCTCCCTCCACACTGCACCTGTTTCCTCATTCTCTTGCCACTTCCTCATTCTCTTGCCCTTCCTAGCAAGGAGGCCTCCCACCCACCCACCCCGCAGACCGTTTTCTCTGCTTCTGGTGAGTGGGTGGGATGTGATTTGGCCTGCAGTGTGGGTGGCTTTCGTGGCTGGGTTGGGGTGCTGAGACTCCCTCCGTGGGTTGCCTCTTAATTCAGCCATATGTCTTCATCCCCCCCCCCCTTGAGGATTAACGTCATTCTTGCTTCCCAGGGCCTCGAGGTCGTGGTTGTGTCCCTTGCCACTCCTCACAGGCATACCAAAACACAGAGCTTTTTTTTAAAAAAAAAACAAACCAAAACTATACATATTTGATACTGTAAGCCAAATTGGCCATTGCTTGGCGTGTTTGTCCCAATAGTAAACACAACCAGTGAGACTTTTGTAGTGAGCAGGAAACTTTATTTCAACAAAGGGGAACCCAAGCCTCAAAAGACTGAATTCCAAAGGACAATTGAAGAGACAAGCTTTTTCTAATTGTGCACAAACATCTTTTGGACATGCACAGGTGTCCATTCCTTTGTCTACAAAACAAAAAGGGGGAAATGCCAGGTGATAGATGAATGATTTATTATACAAAACCCCACGCGTTTCGCCATGCCGGCATCGTCGGGGGAATCAGAACATTCACCTACTGCTCAAGTGGTTAAGATGCTGAACTGCAGGCTGCGGAAGGTCAGTAGTTCAGCAATTCGAGCCCCGAGTGCCGCATGACGGAGTGAGCTCCCGTCTCTAGCTCCAGCTCCTGCCAACCGAGCAGTTTGAAAGCAAGAAATTGCAAGTAGATAAATAGGTACCACTTCGGTGGGAAGGTAACAGCGTTCCGTGCGCCTTGGTGTTTAGTCATGCCGGCCACATGACCACAGAAACGTCTTCGGACAGCGCTGGCTCTTCGGCTTTGAAATGGAAATGAGCACTGCAACCCTAGAGTCGGATTTGACTGGCTTTCAAGCAAGGGAACCTTTACCTTTTAATATCATATATACCTTTCTATCCCATGCATAGTTATCACAAATTCGTTACCTCGTCTGCTTTCCATCAGTGCTTGATCATGCAGGTAACCCCTAAAGCTATCAGTATGCTGATTAAGAAAAGGGGGGTGGGAGATAGAATGTTATCTGTGACCATTAGGTAACCTTTCTAAATTCTGGTGCCTGGTTTGGAGCTCATTATCTTACATACCAAATAAAGGAATCTTCCCTTTACTATTCTACAAGCAAGCAGTAGAATTTTCGTCTTGAGCTAATATTTCTCATCCTCAATCAGAAACTCAAAATGGAGTTTCTTTGGTCCTTGTACCACAATACCATCACGTTATTTATTTAGAAAATTGTTTATGTAGAGACTTGAGTTGGCTCAGAAACTAAGAACAATACAATAGAATCGTACAAACAACATTAAGAGTTATCCATATTGGTGTAAAAACAGGATAAAACATTTCAGCACCTTATGAATTATGTTTATTTGCAGTCAAAGACCATTTATCAAAATATTACATGTTCGTTAAATACAAGTAAATTAGCTTTCAGCTCTAAAAATAAACATATAACCTTAAAATCATTAAAATGTTAAAAGGAGAAAAGTTTAACAGTCCATTGTATCAAAATAATTATAAGAAGTTTAAAACTAAACTGCTTATGAGTCATGCAAAGGTAAATGAGGATTCTACTTGACCTGCTTCTTATTGTGAAATTTTACCAGTTGCAAGCAGAATGCTGCTATTTGTCTGGAGATCTGCTGATTTTCCTCTATCAAATGTCTCTCTAGATCAGCACTATCTGCATCAAGTGCTGGTCTATCCAAGAGGGGGGCAATAAGCTTATATCCCTATAAACCTGATGTAAAGGACAGCGAAAGAACATGTGGAACATCGATTCCACTTCTCCTATACAGCATGGGCAGCACCTGTCTTCATATGGTATCTTTCTACTAAAACCTTAGAAAGGGAATAGCCGCACAATGAGCCAGGGTAAGAGCTCTTCTATAGGGTGGCACATTCAGTTAAGTCAGGTATTTAGCCATTTTCATTACACATCTGGAGTCATTATGGACCAGAAAAGAAGGAGCTCGGTTTAAATCCCCTCGGAGCTCTCGGCGCTCTAGATCACAAATTCTTTGTTTTATTATACTTCTCGCCTGCATGCTGTTACAAGTGGAATAAAGTTAAACTGAAATACAAGAAGAAAAAGCGTGGAAAATAAACTTCCATAGAACATAATTGACCATAAAGAAATCAATACTTTGACATAGTACTTTTGTTATTATTGTAGGTCTGATATATAAAAATGTAATTTCTGAAATATGATCCTTGTCTTAATTTAGCTTCTGTATTAGTTTTAGAGCTTCCTTTGCCCCTTTCCCTTAGGATGTAGTATATAAAAGCAATTAAAAATTATTTTAAAAAATAAAAAAAGATTGCACGTACAATCTACCTTGAAAAGCCACACTGCAAGTCACTCTTGAGTAGCTATTTATCCATTGGTAGTGAAGAGAATACAATCTGCAACTACTGGATGTTGCTTTCATTTGTTCTCGCTTTACATGTATTCCAGGGTTGAGCGCAGGAATTGGAAACAGATGCTGTGGTCAGTTCCAAAATAAATCATGTGGCAAATAGTTGCTGCTTTGGACTTGGCCCGTGGTTCAAGTTGCCAGAAGTATTGGCTCCTCATAGATTAATGGTTATCTGCATCCACTGAGGCTGCAATGTTTAGTTACTCATTATTTGTTGAAATTATTTCTAGCATAAACACAGAAAGATCATTAAGTGTTCTGAGAATATCCGAAGTATCACAACAGATGGGATCCATTCAAAGGTTTTGCAATATACAGGCTGTTTAGACATTTATAATTTAGCTTTGTTGTGTCCTGGATGGCTCAGGCTAGCCAAATGGTGGCCACTAAGCAGGGTCAGCTTCACAGAGGTAAGGTTTCCCTTGCTCGAAAGCTAGTCAAATCCGACTGTAGGGGGCAGTGCTCATCTCCAT